ATTTTTTTTTATGAGTTTATATTTATTACAAAACTTGTATCAAACATTACATTTATAATTAAAAAATGATATTTTCCATTTCAGTAGTTCAAAGATAAAAATGTAGTTAAAATGACACCAAAGTACCGAATTATTTCATGCAAAAATAAATAAATCAAAATATTTTATTTAAAAAATTGTATGCCTTTTTTATATTATTTATGATATTTTTATATCATTAAAATGGCAATTTTAACAATATTTTTTGTATCAACAGAAAGTGTATATTCTGGGTGCCTATGCCATAGCAGCTACTTGGTTATTTCATGCAAAGACATAAATAAAATATAAATATTTAATTTGTTTGCATAAGTTTGTATATTGTAAATTGTTGTATTGTTTTATATTGCAAATTGTATCAAACATTATTAAGAATGTAATTTAGAAATGGACAAAAATTATGAAACTTTGAACTGTATTTTTTTGTATCTATTTGTATATAATTAAAATATATATTTTTAAACATCATTTTTTTGTTTTGTTGTTTTTAAGTGTATGTTTTGGGTGCTTAGTTTCGTGGCAGCTACCAAATGTTGATGTGTGTCTTTCACACAGGTGGCTGGGAAATGGTACCTGATTGGGTTTGCCACCAATGCCGAGTGGTTTGTCACCCGCAAGGCGAACATGAAGATGGGCATCGCCATGCTGACACCGACTGATGAAGGAGATCTGGAGATGGCATATTCCAGTCTCCGGTAAGAGAATCTGATCACTAAAAAAATAAGAATCTATAAATAAAGTCCTCTCGTGTTTTATGATTTTCCATCCCGTTTTTCCAGTCCTGATGGCTCGTGCTGGAGGATGAACCATCTGGCTCAAAAGAAGGATATTCCAGGGAAATTCAGCTTCCACAGTGAACGTAAGGAAGATACCGTTCATCTAGACATGAAATACAGTAGTGATTTATACAGGATTTAAATGAGAAATGATGTGTTTCCTCAGGCTGGGAGACTGAGAATGACATGCGTGTTGCTGATGTGAAGTATGATGAATATGCTTTGATTCACACCATCAAGACCAAAGCTGACTCCACCACGCTTCTCAACAAACTCTATGGTATGAACTCCACTTTAAAATGTAGCATTTTAATTTTTAACAGTCAAAACATTTTTGAGTCAAATTAACCCAATAGCTGGGTTTGTCCCTTTTTAACCCAGCACTGGGTTATATTTAACCCAGAATATTTTAGAGTGTATAGACTTATGTATTCTCTCTATATATATATTTATAAATATATAACAAACTTGTTTTATTTCTGCTAGTTGCCAAGGCTTAACTTAACTAAAACAAATAAAAATGAATAAAAACAAAGTAGATATATAAAAAAACTAATAAAAATGACAAAAAAACACAACAAAATTACTAAAACCTAAACTAAACTTAAAACTAAAGCAACAATAAAATAAAAAATCTTAAACAACATTTTTTTACTTAAAATAAACTTTACCTGAAACAAGAGAAAAATAAAGAAAAATGTATACAAACCCAATAGCTGGGTTTGTCCCTTTTTAACCCAGCACTGGGTTATATTTAACCCAGAATATTTTAGAGTGTATAGACTTATGTATAGGTTAGATGCCATGTAGAATTTAACACTGATGAAAACAGGGCTGTGAGGAACAGACTTACCCATACGGCAAAATAAATCTGGCCTAAATATATGTTGTAAACAATGACGTTAAATGAAATATATATTTGAAATTTAATATATTTGTGTATATATTAATTTTTATTTGTATTATTATATTTTATATAAACATTATTATATTTCTTGCCCCTGAAATACATTTTAAAATTTTAGTACGTGAGGGTTAAAACTAAATACATTTTTAATTTCAAAATAGATATTTAATTGAGCTTCACTGTTTAAACATATATTAAGCTTATATTTAAAACATATTTATGCCAGAAAAAATATATTTTCTTGCTGTATCGTAGCTCAGGTCAGTTAAATAATATTAACAGATACAACTTTTGAATGTGTTAGTAAATGTTGAAATTAACATTCGCTAAGATTAATAAATGCTTTAAAATGTTGTGTTGTATTTAACTAATATTAACAAATGAACCTTATCGTAAATGTTGCCAACTTTCATTTTCAGTTGATTGAATCTTTCTTAAGTTTCAATCTTTCCTTCCAATCACCTTATTAAACTTAAAACTCCCAATTTTCTACAATCCAATCAGTTCTTGATGGGTAAAGTGAAGTACCACATTTCTGAAATATGTCATGTTACGAAAGTAAAATAGATTGTGAAGCCGTTTCTTATGAGCTTAAAGCTCATGTTCCTCAGACTGTGATGTGTACTGTAAAAAAAAATAACTGTGAAAAGCATTCAGCTCAGATAATGAAAATATTTGCATTGATTCTGAATTGTTCTCGTGACATTTGTGTCTGTGCTCTTATCGTAGGCTGAACCCCAGACCTGAGCCAGGACGTCCTGGACAAGTTCACTGAGTTTTCTCTGGAGCAAGGCATTCTGCCTGAGAACATCGCCATCCTGCCTAAAAATGGTAAAACTGTTAAAAACACTCTTATAAACACTAAATATGAATGTATCCAGGCCTGACGTGAACATCTTTTCTCTAGACAAGTGCCCTTGATGTGCTGATGTGAAGCTCTCTGAATCCTGACTGATTTATGACTGTAGTTAATCATTTAAAGTGCCTCTGTTTTACACTCTCAGTATCAGTCCTTTTACCTTCTTAAAGTTCTTTCCATCATTTCTTCTTATTTCTTCATGAGATTGGACCAATAAAATCTTTTGTGAATCTCTGTTATGAGGCATTCGTGTTGTGATTTTGTTTTATGTATTTAACCTTAGACCTGAAAATGACGTTTCCAACTTAAATTGTTGTAAACATTGAATGCTTTGGAGCATTTGGTTTCTTTTTAAAGACATCTGGCAGATTATTGTAGAAGTGAAAAGTTATAAAAGTGAAACTGAAAAAAAAAAAGTTATGGAAGTTTGTTTATAAAAAAACATAAAATGTAAAAATGTAGGTCTCCATAAAATGAGTTTCAAGCATGTATGCACCAGGGATGCTATAGGTGACTAAAAATAAAACCATAAAAAACTTGTTACTTGAAATAAACTTTAACTGAAAAAAAAAAGAAAAACTTATTTTATTTCAGGTAGTTGCCAAGGCTTTAACTAAAACAAATTCAAATGAAACAGATATAGTAAAAACTAGTTTATAAAAATGAATAAAACTATATTGTTTTATATATTTTTTTAAACTATAGTTAAAAACTGTAGTTATTATAGTTAACTAAAATTAAAACCATAAAACTGAAATAAAGTGTTTGTGTGTGTGTATGTATATATATATATATATATATATATATAAACATTTTATTTCAGCTAGTTGCCAAGGCAACATTTCTCATTTTAGCTTACCATGATGTAGTAAAATATCAATAAAATTATACAAACTGTATAGACCTATTTACATAGACATTAAAAAACTACTTACAAAAACACAACACAATTACTAAAACTTTCAAATTAAAACAGAAAAAAAATTGTTTTAAACTAATAACACTGTAAATACACAACTTTTTTGAGAAACAGGTCAGGTGTGTCCAAAGTATTTGACTGGTATTGTATGCATATAAATAATAAATCTGATGAACTTACTGATAAATCATATATATTGAATTCACAGTAAATCGCTTTAGTCAAAAGCATCTACCACATGAATAAATGGAAATGGAAACATTCACTATATCCCACATAAAAAGATCTCTAAAAAGTTGTGCACTTAGACACTTGCATTTTCATAAAGAACAGAGGATGCAGGAAAATACTTTGCCTTTTATTTCCTGTTTTGTCAGTTTTTAAACAAATGTGAAGATACATCCATGACAACACAAAGTTCTGAAGTCCTCTTTCCAAAGTGTTTACATCTACACGCTCTCTTTACAGCTCTGTGTACAAAACAATAAGTTATAGTCCCGGATGCTATAGGTGACTAAAAATAAAACCATAAAAAACTTGTTACTTGAAATAAACTTTAACTGAAAAAAAAAAGAAAAACTTATTTTATTTCAGGTAGTTGCCAAGGCTTTAACTAAAACAAATTCAAATGAAACAGATATAGTAAAAACTAGTTTATAAAAATGAATAAAACTATATTGTTTTATATATTTTTTTAAACTATAGTTAAAAACTGTAGTTATTATAGTTAACTAAAATTTATACAACAAAGTTTAAACGGTGACCAAATAAATATCTGCAGTATAAAAATGATCACAGGGAGAGAGAGGAAGTGTTTCCCTTCCCTTCCCGACCGATGGCATCGTTTCTGCCAATCATTGCTAATGGTGCTGTTCGGACACAACGAGAGGCTCCTTCAGTGCTTTGAGGTCGAGTTCCTCTGGAAACCACTGGCCAATCACATGCAAAGCTGGATATGACATCATCCATCACAGGTTAGTGGAATTGTGACCCCAATAAGCGCTATTTGATTCGATTTACGTTACATACAAACACAAAACAGCGCATTTCCAACACGACTCGCCTATTCGATTCCAGCTTTTTGTCACATTTTGGTAACGAGTAAAGGATGCCAGCCTTTAAGTGAGGTCTGATGTTGACTGTCAAGACATTTAGTTGGTATTAGTGTGTATTTGCATTGTGAACGCAGCCAAAGGGGACTATCACTATGAAGTCTGCAAGACGAGAGTCACCTGGTGAAAAGGTTATTGGCAACGGCAAACATATCTGATGCATTGCTTTGAACCATAAACATACATACATACAGATCATTTGTAATCTGACCACAAAACCAGTCATAAGGGTCTTTTTTTTTTAATTGAGATTTATACATCATATGAAAGCTGAATAAATAAGCTTTCCATTGATTGTTAGGATAGGAAAATATTTGGCCGAGATACAACTATTTGAAAATCTGGAATCTGAGGGTGCAAAAAAATCTAAATATTGAGGAAAATCATCTTTAAAGTTGTCCAAACGAAGTTCTTAGCAATGCATATTACTAATCAAAAATTAAGTTTTGATATATTTACGGTAAGAAATTTACAAAATATCTTCATGGAACATGATCATTACTTAATATCCTAACGATTTTTGGCAAATCTATTAATTTTGACCCATACAATGTATTTTTGGCTATTGCTACAAATATACCCCAGCGACTTAAGACTGATTTTGTGCTCCAGGGTCCCAAATAAAACTCATACTGCACATCGTGGATACTGATGAGAGATAAAATTGGCTTGATGTTCAATAAGGTCATTACAAAATTTTGATTGGCATACTGAATCTAATATAGTGTACGTAAAGACTTCATATGGCTGAATCTCAAAAAAAAAGAAACATGCTCAGGTAAAATTTCACCCCAAAAACTAAAGAAATACAAATGATTAATTATATTTTGAACCTATTTAGACCATTAAGTTTTGCATTGCAACACTGACACTTTTTTGATTATTATTTATGTATTTTTAATTTATTTTATACAACAGTAGTGAACATTTTAATACAAATCATTGTATTGCAGTAAATATTTTTATTTGATTTTTATACTACAGTTATGAAAACGAATACACTGAAAATAAACTGGTGTAGAAACAATTTTCACTATTTGTCAAATTGCTAGTAAATTTCACAAATATTTACGTAGAATGAGCACGTAACACATTGAGTTAAATGTGAAACACTGAAGTATCAAGATGATAATACACTGTAAATAATATTTTTCAAAGATGTAAATAAAACAAAGATTGGAGTATGTTTTGCAAGAAAATACTATTCAAATTTCACATTTATTTCAGTGTTACTTACGGCTTTATTGTAATTAATTGTGAAATTTAATGAGTGAAAATTGTTTCTACACCAAATTTTTAGTTCCAATAATTCCTATTCATTTTCCAATGGTTATTTACATCACTGTGACATAAAAAATGTTTAAAAAATATTTACTGCAATACAATTTGTATTCAAACTAGCATAAAAGTAAGGAAAAATTTAGTTTTTCTCGTGATTTGGGGGTTAAATTTGACCCAGACATGCTCTTTACATGAGATTTATTTAATTCACATCTCTGTGGTCCCATACATCCAAGTGAAATGCATTTAGGTCATCATACAACATAAGAAAACATTACGTTTGCATGATTAAAATCATTCTTAAAATTACAGACTAAAGGGGTTATCTGGTCTCACAGACCCAAAACGCCAGAGATCTGAGGTGCCGGAGATACTTTAAAATAACTCTGTTCATGAGGTGCATGGACTTGATCCAGAATAGTTCACCACAAAAAAAAAAAATAAATAAATAAAATTTCTCCATGTAGTTTCAAACGTTTACCTTTTTCCTCTTCTATGGGTCATAAAAAGATATGTTGAATGTCCAAGAATATGTTTCTCATACAATGAAAGCATTTGTTGAAACCCCAAAAAGGACAAAAAAACACCATAAAATTAGTCTATACAACTTTTTTACGTTATATATTCCAAGTCTTCACACTTCTGAGGAACCGAGCAAAAGTTAATTCACATGAAAGCTTGATTTTGAGCAAAAACTGACATTTCATATGGGCTCAGAAGACTACGAATACATTTTTTGAGAGTAAATGGCTTTTTGGCTTTCATGGTGAACTATTCCTTTCAAACATATTGGTCATTACGGATGATGCTGCATCTGTTTTTTCCTGATCATCTTCATCAGATCAGATCATACGCTCTTTTTGCGATCATTAAAGGTTTGAGAGACCAGATATTCCCTATAACCTCGTCCTGATCACACAGACGTTGCAAAATAAGGCAATGTCCTCAGTGCCAATGGAAAACAGCCTGGTATCTTTCCGACGTGTTTCTGAACATTACAAACATTTCCTGGTGTCCTTTTTTTTTTTTCGAACAGCTATCAATCAGACGGACATGCTAGTAAAGTGCAAGACTGAGTGAGATATCCATCACATTGTCTTATTTTCATAAAGCATTTCAGAGAGGATATGTTGGCTACTCAATGACAGACTGAACACAATACTCTAAAATGCTTCAGGAATATGCACCTGATCCCAGAGGCCAACAGGTAAGTTTCATCTGTTAAGATACAAAACCAAACTGAAAAGCATTGGAAAAAAAACATAAAACATCTTTAGTTAAAGGAACAGTCCAGCCAAAATGAAAAGTGTCATTATTTACTCACCCTTCTGTTGTATGCTGTTATTAATTTCTACAGAGAAGGGGAAGATTTTCAGTGAATAATAACATAAATTTGGGTCTGTCCTCACACAAATAGATCATGTGACTTCAGAAGATCTGGAATATAGTCCACAAGTAGTATTTTAATATTTATAGAATACATTATTTTAACGATAATAATAGAATACTTTTATAACAAGAAAATAAATTTTAAAAATTATAATTTTTTTAATGAATACCTATTATGTTCCTTGGCATAAAGTAAGTCATGCAGGTTTTAAACAACATGAGAGAGAGCAAATTATTTTCATTGATTTTACATTTTAGGGTGAACTGTTCCTTTAAAGGGATAGTCCACCCAAAAATGAAAATTCTGTCATTTACTTGTTTCAAACCACTTTGACTTTCTTTCATTTGTGGAACACAAAAGAAGATATTTTCAAGAATGTTGGTAACTAAACAGTTCCATTCCCATTGACTTCCATTGTATGGACAAAAAAGACAATGGAAGTCAATGGGAACCGAAACTCTTTGGCTCCCCACATTTATTCAAATTATCTTCTTTTGTGTTACAATGGAAGTCAATGGGAACCAAAACCATTTAGTTCCAAACATTCTTCCACAGAAGAAAGCCATAGTGTTTCGATTGGAACCCAAAAAAAGATATTTTGAAGACTGTTGGTAACTAAACCGTTTTGGTTCCCATTGACTTTCATTGTAACACAAAAGAAGATATTTTGTAGAATGCTGGGAAATAAACATATTTGGTTCCCATTGATTTCCATTGTAAGGACAAAAGATGCAATGGAAATCAATGGGAACTAAATATGTTTATTTCCCAGCATTCTACAAAATATCTTCTTTTGTGTTACAATGGAAGTCCAAAACAGTTACAAGGGAACCAAAACAGTTTGGATGCTTCCAAAGGAAGTCAATGGGAACCAAAACGGTTTAGTTACCAACAGTCTTCAAAATATCTTCTTTTTGGGTTCCAAAGGAAGTTGATGGGAATCAAAATGGTATAGAACATATTCTTTTGTGTTCCACACAAGAAAGAAAGTCATACGTTTTGGTTCCCATTGACTTCCATTGTATGGACAAAAACAAACAAACAATGGAAGTCAACTGAAACCAAAACTGTTTAGTTCCCAACATTCTACAAAATGTATTCTTTTAAGTTCCACACATTAAAGAAAGTCATACAGTTTCGGTTCCCATTGACTTCCATTGTATTTTTTGTCCAAATGATGAAAGTCAATGGGAACCAAAACGGTTTAGTTACCAACATTCTTCAAATTATCTTCTTTTGTGTTCCAATGGAAGTCAATGGGAACTGAAACGGTTTAGTTTCTTCCAATGGAAGTCAATGGGAACCGAATCAGTTTGCTTGCTAACTTTCTTCAGCAGAAAAAAAGAAATGCACACAGGTTTGACGACGACATGAGGGTGAATAAACAAAGACAGAAATTTAATTTTAGGCTGAACTGTTCCTTTAAGACTGCAGACCATGTGATCATAAGAAATGTGAACACACTTCCAGTCTATGCCACTAAACACTTTCAACAATTTTCTCTCGCATACAGACACAACACACACAACTGCTATGCATGAGGGGTCTTGGTAAGAAGCCCAATACAGAGGTTGCCAACATGAGGGATGGGGATCTCGAATCACTGGCTGTTTAGTGTGTTTACGGAAGTGAGTGGAGAAAGAGGAGGTGCTCATTCTGCCGGCACAATGTCTTTATGGTGCCTCATAATGTGCTGGTTTTTCTCCGAAGGTCTCCGGAAGCCCTTTGAACAGTACTGACAGCGGTGAGGATAGTCCTTAGTATGGATGGAAATAACGTGTCTTTTGAAGCCAGACGCATCTCCCGTGCTGTAGTCGCAATACTGACACTGATACACCCTCCTTTCTCGCGAACCCTTCGCACCACCGGCTTTCTTTACAGCGGGCACTGCTAACTGCGCTGCACCTATAGTCCTCTTGGGGGCGGGCTTTTCTGTGGGTGGGGCTTGCGGTGGCGACGCCTGTGTGGGCGGAGTCGGCGACTGCGCCGGCTGTTGCTGCTGTTCCTTAGTGTGAACAGACAAGATATGGCGGCTGAGAACGAATGGGTCTGCGATCTTGAAGTTGCAGTGGCGGCACTGGTGCAGTTTCTTGGCTTTATGCAACGCCGAGTGTTTCTTAAGCTCGGACGGCCGGTGGAAGCCTTTCTCGCAGACGGCGCATTTATGTGGGTAGTCTTTAGTGTGCACGGAAATGACGTGCCGTTTAAGGTCGCTGGAGTTGGAGCTGCGATGGTCGCAGTGACTGCACTGGTGTCCCCGAGAGTCCTCGTGTGTGGCCGCATGCTGCGTTAGTTCATCCTCCTCACTGAAGGTTTGGCCGCAGCGCTCGCAGCAGAATGGCAGCTCGCGGCTGTGCTTCGTCTTCACGTGCGTCTTCAGGTTGGACGAGTCGGCCGATTTGTAATCGCAGTACATGCACGAGTACGGCTTCTCGCCGGTGTGCGTGCGCATGTGTTTCTTTAGCTCCGACGGATGGCGGAAACCTTTGCCGCATTCCACACAAATGTGCGGGAAGCTCTTACTGTGCACGGCCAGCAGGTGGCGATTGAGCAGCCCTTGCTCGGCAGTCTCGTAATCGCAAAACTTGCATTTGTGCGTCTTGGTCGCGGCGGCGGGAGGAGGCGGCGACTCGATGGCCGTGGGCGACTTTTGCTCCTGGTGGTGGTGCTGGAGACGGTGCGAGAACAGCGCCGCCTGCTGGTGGAACTCCTTACCGCAGGTCTCGCATTCAAACAGCACTTTGTTGCTGAGCGCGTGCACCTCCATGTGGTTGTGCAGACTGGCTTTTTTGTTAGTGGTGAAGTCGCAGTCCGTGCACTGGTACTTTTTGTGACTCAACAAGTCCTGGTGGTGGTTGCGAGTGTGGCGCTTGAGGAAGCCACGGGATTTGAATTTCTTACCGCACAGCATGCAGGGGTAGACGGTCAGAGGCTGTCCATACGGACCGATGATGATCGCTGATGAGAAATGAGAGAAGACCGAAAAGGACAGTGAGAGGATAAAATAGAACCAGTTTTGAAGCCAATAGCCGATACAATGCATATGTATGGAGATAGAATTGTTGCACAATTTCAAACAAATAGAATGAGATCCACAAATAAATCTTAGAGTTTCACAAACATGAATTAAATTCACAAATAAATAAAATGAGATTTGCAAATAAAAAACAAATATATCACAAATATATTTTTTAGGGCTGTCAAAATTAACGAATTAACGCGTTAACACAAATTAATTTTAACGGCACTAATTTTATTAACGCAGCGTGCATTTTCTGTTTGACCTGTGGCCGAGCCCATAGTTGGAGAAATGGAAATGCAGTGTTGCCAACTTAGCGACTTTGCAGACCCCTTTAGCGATTTTTTTTTCTCTCAAAAAAGCACCTAGCGACAAATCTTAAGGGTTGCCCAAACCTTAAGCCTATTTAGTTTCTGAGATTTGCCAGTACTCCCGCGCGAGCGCGAGGTCTTGCTTTCCCGGTGCGCGCACACACCTCTTTCTCTCTCTGTGTGTCTGCATTGTTCAGCGAGTGGCTGAGAGGAGCAACGCGCTTTCAGTTAAAACAGATATTATGTTGCTTCTCTAATTTTAAGTATAGCTGAAATAACAGCATTGTTGCATATTGTCTTTATCTTATGTGTATTTGATTTCAGGATTTTTGTGCAGATTAACATCTTGTAAGGGAGAGCTGGTTATGTAGTCTTAATGGGTCGCGTTTCAGTCTCTATTTCATATTCATTCTGTTGTCTGACAACAGAAACAGTAAAATACATAAATGAAAACAGTTTTATTGAGAATTTAGCTGCATCAAAATACAGTATGTGGGCACAGAGAGGCAAACAAATGTAATAATAAATAATAAATATACATTTTGCATGTTCAGAAGAAGTGAGCTGCCTTGTGCTTCAAATAATGTAAACAGGCTTGTGTAAGTAAATTGCTCAGTGCAAAGAAAGAAGTAATGGGAACCTGGTATTTCTATGTTCTTTTTTCATGTGTCTAATAGACATGAACAAGTTCTTTGAAAAACATTTATGACCTATGAAACATGTCTAGTCTTCATGCTCTATGTTGAGTATGATTTCACTAATAATAAATATACATTAGCATAAAGCATCCATATTTTATATTTTGATTAGCCCATGTTGATTAGAGTTTTAAAAACGTGAAAAGTATTAATTTAAGGTACATTTAGAACAGGTAAAAATGTGTTATTAAATTGCGATTAATCACGAGTTAACTCATGACAATCATGCGATTAATCGCGATTCAATATTTTTAATCGATTGACAGCCCTAATATTTTTATGTCACAAACACAACTTTGCCTGGCATTCATTTGTAAATCGCGTCCTGTGCATTTGTAGATCACTGTACGCATTTGTGGATTTTGAAATATTTCTAGTGTCAAGAAGCTGATAATCCATAAATGCGTGGACTCCACCCACCGTCTACTCAAGCTAATCAGATAACAGCCACATTTCGCTGACCAATCGTAGCATATTTTTATTAATCTCTTTACATTTATTTGTGGATAATAATCTATTTAACAACAATTCTATCTCCATACATATGCAACCAGGAATATCAGTGTTAAATAAAACTATTAAAAGCATTGTTAATTGAAAAAATAAAATAAAAGATATTAGATAGTTGGCAAGGTAACAATTATAAAGTTCGCGTAATTTAAGTTGATGCACTAAATTTACTAAAACACTAAATTTACTATTTGGAAATTAATAAACTAAAACAAAAACTGAAAACAAAATCATAAAAAAATTTAAACTGAAATAACAATAAAGATAAATAGTAATATTAAAACAAATTACAAAACAACAAAATTATTAAATTAAACTAAAGTCTAAATAAAAACTGAAAATATAAAAAATTAAAGACAAGAGAAAAAGAGCGAGAACATAAAACACTTGGTAGACAATAGCTGATATAATGTGGATACAACCAGGCTTATTGTCATTAACTACAACTAAACTATTAAAACATTTTTGTTTAAAGAAATAAAGATGAAACCAAATAAAATATAATAGTAGATGAATAAAAAAATTAAAACAATTAAAAAGTAACAATTAAATGAGTGAAAAAAAATTAAACAAATTAAAAATGAAAGCATAAAAAAAAATTTATAATACTAAAATAATACTGGATATAACATACAATTCAACTGACGCAAATGAGACATTCAAAACTGCTGAAGTAAAATGACAATTTAACATTTACAAATTAATAAATTCACTGAAAAAATATTTGAAAACAACAACAACAAAAAAGTTTCTTTTGTTTTCAACATCCAGGCAAAAATGTATATATTTGTATATTGCAAAATGTACATTTCTGCTGAAATGGTCCTGCAGCTTAAAGGGTTACTCCACCCCAAAATGAAAATTTTGTCATTAGTCACTTACCCTCATGTCGTTCCAAACCCGTAAAAGCTTTGTTCGTCTTCGGAACACAATTTAAGATATTTTGGATGAAAACCGGGAGGCTTGTGACTGTCCCATTGACTGCCAAGTAAATAACACTGTCAAGGTCCAGAAAAGTATTTAAGACATCGTCAGAATAGTCCATCTGCCATCAGTGGTTCAACCGTAACGTTATGAAGCGACGAGAATACTTTTTGTACACGAAGAAAACAAGAATAACGACTTTATTCAACAATTCGTCTCCTCTGTGTCTCTCCGCATCACCGTAGCACCATTTTGGAGAATATCCGCTGAACGCAAGCAGTGTACGCTATTCTGTGTCAGCCGCGCTGCACGGATGCGCTGTTTTAGTTCAAATCAAAGCGTAAATACACGTAGAAAACGTATCCTTGTGTCGCGGCTGACACAGAATAGCGTACGCTGCTTTTAGAGGTTTGGAACGACATGGGGGTAAGTGACTAATGACAAGATTTTCATTTTGCGGTGGAGTATCCCTTTAACACTTTCAAAGCAATTCCACAAAACCTAAGATGTATTAATCATTTAGTGAGAGGCGAGTGTGTTGATACCTGTTTGGACCTGTCGGGGTTCAGCTCGTCTCTTGTTCTTGCCGTGTTGCCGGTTGATTTTGTCCAGTGCATCCGACTCGTCGATGTGCAGTAATGCGCTCGCTGCTCCGTTACGGTTCTCACAGCCCTCATCCGCACCTGCTTACCAAACACACATGAGCATATTCAAAACCATTAATCATTAGAAGAAACAAAACCACAACTTTATTGTAGTTTGAAATGCTCATATCAGTCAACCTCTATCAGAGATGACATGAAAGCACAGTAAATCAGAAACAGGCCTTACGTTACTGCAATCCAGTGTTTCTAGACAGATTAATAGGGCCAAAGCCACTAGGGGCGCTATTGTTCCCCTAAGGATTATATCCATAAATAAACAGAAAAACACTCAAGATCAGTCTTTTAGTCTGTATTGTTTTCTATTGATTCGCAAACAAAACCTCACTAAATATTATTTGTAGCACCTAACATCTGATAATCACAACAAACTTTGTGCTTTGTTACTTTTGATAAGAAGTCTCAGCTTTCAAATTCTGTCAGTTTTATCATGAAATTCAAGTAAATGTCGTTTTGACACTCTTTAATTTGGCGCTATTTTCATATCACTGAAATAATATAGTTTTTATTCATTTTTTTAAGTAACTTAAGTAAGTAAGTGTTTAATTATTATTTCCAAATGTTTTGTTTTAATTTTAATTTTGGTTAAAGTTTTAGTAATTTTATTGTGTGTCTGTGTTATTTTTAGTAGTTTGTTTTTCTCATTTTAATTTAGTTTAACTTTGTTGTACTGACAAAGATGTACTAAAATTACTAAAACTTAAATAAAAATTAATAAAAACAACATTTACATTTTCAATGTCTATTTAGTTTTCAATTTTGTTAAAAAAATTAAAAATGAATCAAATAAAATTAAAATAAAAAAATATACATATTAAAATAAAAAAATACAAAACTATCAAAAACTATAGACATATTTAAAAATGTCTATATAGTTTTTATTTTTTTCAGTTTTAATTATTTTAGTACATCAAGTTAAACTAAATTAAAAGGAGAAAAACAAAAACTACTAAAAATGACTAAAATCAAATTACTAAAATGAAAACAGAAAATAAAAACTAAATCAAAACATTCATAAAAACTATAATATTATTTCAGCTATACCAAAAAAACCCCCACTGATTTTAAATCAAATCGAGATCAGGATCGAATCAAAAGCTTGTGAATCAAAATCGAATCGAATCATGAAATACCCAGTGCTGCATTTCATAACGCATGCATGCAGCGTGTTCTTCGTAGTTAATAGTCTCTATTTAGGTTGCTGTTATACTACATGATCAGGATTTGTAGTGTCAGTAAAATGCAGACTCCTGACCGTATGCAGCAGCCCACGCGACGGGCATGAAGTCCTTGCTGAGGGCAGTGCTGTCATACGGTCTGTTGTGAGGAACCGGCTCTTCTCCTCCAACCACCACCTCCATGTACACCTCATCCGAGAGCTTAGAGCCGCCTGCACACAGAACACTACACTTAAACCACGGATGAGCACACAAGAAGAGCGTCTAAAATTACATCATGACGTTAGCGATGACATCCACACAAGTAGTATGTCTCATGCCGTTTCAATGCTTCAAATCACAGAGTTTCATCTTTGAAAACATCTTATTGCATTCTGCAGCTTAGGAAATCAGAAAGGAGTACATTTGGGACAATAACAACTACATTTTCAAAACTGGAACCAAAGCTATCAGACATTCAGAAACACATCCTCCTCGAGGTCTACAATGGTTATGGCGCTGGTTTGACATGTTCCCAAAAAGTTACATAATTTGACATTTGTTGCACAGAAAGAAAAACTAAATGGCTATTTGAGCTTCTGCAGCCAATATCAAGCAAACATGTTGTTCAATCACTTTAATGCTATACATCACACTATATTTATTTCTGACGGAAATGTAACAAACAAATTATATATTAAATGAAATAAAACCGTATTTAATATAAAATATTATACATGAAATAAAATAAAACAGTATTTAATATAGAATATTATATATTACACTAAAACAGTATTTAATATAAATGATTATATATTAAATAATCATATTAAACAATTAAATCACGTACCATATCAGTGTGAATCATTTTATATCACATGAATTCTATACATCATAATATAGTTATGATGGAAATATAACAAAAAATTACTTAAAATATTATATATTTAAATAAAACCGTATTTAATATAAAATATTATATATTAAACAAAACAGTATTTAACATAAAATACATATTAAATGAAATAAAACAGTACTTAATATAGAATAATATATATTTAGTTAAAACTGTATTTAACAGGAAATATTATTTATTAAATAATCATGCTATTTTTGGATAATCCAGTGAATTAAATACTTTAAAGGTTCATCTCATTTTAATATTTTCTCTTTGTACTTGGAGCTTATTAGACGCAAAGCAAAAGATCAGATATTCATATCAAATGACTGACACCAGTGTAAAAACCAGTGTTATTTTAGGATCATTAATATACTACTATAGTGTTTATTAACATTTGGAATTTTTCTTTTTATATTTTCTGTTTTAATTTTAGTTATAATTTTAGTAATTTTGTTGTATGCTTTTATCATTTGTATGTCTATTTCAGTATTATTTTTTAGCAATTTTAGTATTTCAACAAACTAAATGAAAATATGTTTTCTTTTATTTCAATTAACATAATATTTTTTTTTTATATATATTTTTAGGTTTACTTAATGATAAACACACAGGTAAAACAGCTTCACATTATGAAACACTTCAGTTCAAAACTCAAAACAGTCAAACTAATATTACTAAACTGATTGTTGTTTTATAATATTAGTTTGTAAAACAGGTTGATGTAAGCAAATTAGTTTTATGTTATATTGATGTGGCAAGCTGTGATTTTGCTCAGCAACAAACAACAACAACAAATCTATGCCACATTTCTATGGTTGCATGGCATTTACACTACTGTTAAAACTTTGGGGTCTGTAAATTTGTAAAAAATGTTGCTTCAAAAATACAGCAAGAACAGTAATATTGTGAGATATTTTAAAAATGAAATTTATTCCTGTGATCAAAGTTGAATTTTCAGCATCATTACTCCAGTCTTCAGTGTCACATGATCTTCAGAAATCATTCTAATGCTGATTTGGTGTTCAAGAAGCATTTCTGATTATTATCAATGCTGAAAACAGTGCTGCTGGATATTTTGAAGAGTTTTCAGAGTTTCTCACCATCAGTCTGTGTGTGATGAGCGTCTCCCACAGACATGTAGAGCATCTTCTCTCTCAGCGGCCGAACCACAGGCTCAGCCAGAGCCACCGCCTCGTTCTCACCGAGATCCACCGCCTCTCCTACACACAGATACAGCGTTAAACAACCAGGACTGCATCCTCATCTCAAAAACGACAGACGGCATTAACAATAAAAAATAAGGATTTTTTCGGATTTTTTTTTTTACCTGCCCTGGCGACATTTTCACTCACCCTGAAGTAAAAATGAAAAATGTTTCAGACTGAAATCTTTGTAAAATTATTTTATTGCTATTTATTTATCTATTATTATTAATTTATTTATATTATTACTATTTATTTTTATATATATACAGTGGTGTGAAAAAGTGTTGGCCCCCTTCCTGGACAAACATGCAAAAAAATAAGAAATCAGGAAGGGGGCCAACACTTTTTCACACCACTGTATATACATATTTTTATTTTATGATTATTATTTATTGTATTTTTTTTAAGTCTACCAGGGTTGGGATGGGTTGGGGTGGGTTCTAAATTTGCACAGTTGCTGTTTGTTTTATATTACTATTCCCAGAAGAAAATTCAATAAAAAAAATAATAAAAATGTTTCAGACTGGCCAGATACCAGCAACTACCTCTAATATGATGCACACTGGGATACAAATCATCACAATCATGATGCAGCATAACTGGATCACAACTGAAGTTGTGGCAAATGCCCAAGAAAACCCCAGCATGATCGCCAGAGAACGAGAATCTGCAGCTTGAGTTTGAATTTCTTCATCACTGAACTGAAGGTTTCGTCAACGGGCCCGAAACAGTGCTGCTATTGTTAACTAAAACTATTATAAATCATAAAAATAAAATAAATAATATATTCAAACGAAATGAGAAATGCTGCCTTGGCAACTAACTGAAATAAGTTGAAGTACTAAAATTACTCAAACTAAATTTAAAAAACAAATTAAAGCTAAATACAAACATTAAAAAAATAATAATATAAAATATTATTATATTATACAACATTATAAAAACTAATAACAATGACAAAAGCACACAACTATAAACTAAATGCATTTTTTAACTACAAACTGAAGATATAAAAATAAAATAAAACAAAAACATCACATGAAAAACTAAAATAAATAAATAAATAAACTTAAATGAAAATTTGAAAAGTAGCCTTGGCAACAAACTGAAATACATTTAAGATGAAATGCTAAAATGACTAAAACTAAAACTGAAATAATAAAATAAAGCTAAATAGAATAATACAAAAATGAATAATATTATATTATAGAATTTTTTTATGTAAAAATAAAAATAAAAACTAAAAATCTAAAAAAAAGCTAATTCAAAATAGTCCAACTCTAAATACTATAATTTGATAGAAGTAATACTAGAGTAGCAGCACTGGCTCAAATCTCTTGTTCACTGACCGAGGTCGTCCTCTCCCGAGTCTGCTTTAAAGATGTAAACTTTAATGACTTCCTGTCCATCCTCATCTTTCTCCACCTCCTGATCATCTATCGCCCCGTCGACCGTCACCTCCTCTCCGTCTCCAGACACCATCTTACCCGCCTCGTCCACTACAGGAGGAAGAACGACTGTATCATTATGAACAGATAATATTTTGGTCATTTTTACGGTGATGATAAAGACAAACGAGACGAAACAAACCAAAAGATGCGCGGCATAACTAAAACCTTATAACTTTATATAACATTAACACTATACATCACAATGTTGTTATTTCTGATGGAAATTTAACAAAAAAATAGTTATTAATTATATTTATATTATATACATTATTTTAATTATATAAAATATGAATATATAATTAAATATTATATATTAAATAAAATAAAATACTACTTATTATTAAAGGAACACTCCACTATTTTTTGAAAATAGGCTTAATCAGATTCAATGATCTATGCTAAGCTGCAGCTAAAAGTGCTACCGCCAGACCCGGAGAACGGCTGAATGGATTCGAAAATGGTAAAACTCAACCGTTTAACTCTAGGGGAGTTGGAAAATGAGCCTATTTTCAAAAATAGGGGAGTGTTCCTTTAAATATTATAAATGAAATAATCATGTGTTAATGTCTATTTTTTGACAATTCAGTCCAGTTTGAAAATGTTGTCCAAACTATTCAGACAGAAACAAATGAACGAATAATTGAATAAATAAACAAACAAACAACCGATTTAATAAATTAAAAACTTAAATGAACTGGCAAATAAGTGAGCAAAAGAACAAAATAAATAAATAAATAAAAATGACAAAAGCACATAACTATAATAAAATTAAAAAACATTTTGAAAAATTAAAAACTGAATATATAAAATTTTTAAACTAAAATGAAACAAACATTAGATTAAAAATGTTTAAATACAACTTAAATGAAAACTAGTAATGTAGCCTTGGCAACTAACTGAAATAAGTTTAAGTTGAGGTATTACAATTACTACAACTAAAAATAAAAATAAAATAAATTAAAGCTAAAGAGTATATATAATATAATAAGCTAATATAATTTTATATAATATATTATAAAAACTAATAACAATGACAAAAGCACTTAAGTAAACGAATTAATTGCTATGAAAAACTGAAGATATAAAACAAATAAAATACATAAATAAATAAAAACGTAGAAAATTAGAAATATAGCTTTGGCAACTAACTGAAATTAGTTTAGGCCGAGGTACTAAAATTACTAAAACTAAAACTGAAATAAATTAAAGCTAAATAGAAATATATATATAATATTACAAAAACTAATAACAATAACAAAAGCACATAACTATATATATGACTATATATTTTATTTATAAATAGAGAAATAAATATATACTTATAAAATATGTTATATATTGTAAAAATAACCAATGATAAAATAAAAATTTGGAAATAAAAAAAAAAACAACATATATATATATATATATAATTTATTTATTTATTGTGTGTGGGAAGATATAAAAAAAATTTAAATAAACATTAGATGAAAAACATGGAAAAGAAATGTAATGAAAATTAGAAATGTAGCCTTGGCAACTAACTGGAATGAGTTTAAGTTGAATTACTAAAATAACTAAAACTGAAATAGTAAATTGAAACAAATGAACAACTGAGCTAATAAAGCGATAGAATGACTGAATGAGTTTGTGAATTACAGGAGATCATGAGGTAATCTCCGCAGCCGTCCGAGTCGTGCTCAGGGTCCCTCCCCTCCGTCATCTCTGCCATGGCAACGCCGTCCTCCTCTTCCTCCTCACCCTCCAGTGACATCACACAGGTCTCCACGGCAACGCCCTCGTCGTCATCGCAGTGCACGTACTCGGCAACCACATCCTCCACTGCGTCCTGGATGACGAGCTCGTCGGAGGAGAAGCCCTGGACGGACGCGGCCTCGCCCTCGCCCTCCACCTCCGACACCAGCACCGTCTCCTGCAGCTCCACCACGTACTCCTCCTCCTCCCCCGCGCCTCCCTCGTCTGCAACAACACACCAAACTACTGCTCAACTGCTCAAATGAGTTTGATCGCTCGTCTACAGTTCATAATGACCAATCCAAACAGACCACTGCTCTAGAGTTCAGCTATATAGATATATAGCTACTGTTTCATATCAGCTTTTTGACACTGTAATAAAAACATTAGACAACACTAAAAACATACATCATGAATGTTATATAATTATTATTATCCATAATTATATACACACACACACACACACACACACACATACATATATATATATATATATATATATATATCATACAAAGTTTATTTCTAATTATAATTTATTATGATTATATTATAAAAATATATATTTTAATCATATTTTTAATATATTTTGTTGCCCATTGTGTCATTTCATATATTTTTAATGTTAATAATAATAATAATTATTATACATAAGTAAATATAAATTAAATGAGTAATAAATATAAATGTATATTTATAATTACATATTTTTTTAATTATAATTATATACATTTTTACATGACACATAATAGCATTACATTTACATTCACATATTTTTAGTTATAATTAAATGATA